ACAGGCCCTACTGAACACTGTGCTGGAGGATCACGTGCCAGATCATTCAACTCCTAGAAAACAGGAAAAGTTTATTTCATTTAATTTCAAATCCAATCATGTTATTGCTAAAAAAAGCTGCTAGTAGCACTTTGGCTATCATTCTTCTTCACGAACATAACACTCACATCAGTGAGTTTTCTGAAACCACAGGGATGGCAACACCACAGAACTAGTAGCCAGGACCCCACAAAGTAAAGTTGCATCATAAATTCAGGTACGTATATGGCATACAGTTACCTCTCTAGGTTTCGATACACTATTAAATCACAGCAACCCTCATCAAGTCATAGGGTCTATCAGGTTTGCATTCATTGATAGTAACTTAAGAAATCCCAAGCATTATCGAGGTATTATATACTCCATTATCTCCAGGTCACACAGAGATAAGACGGCCTCAATCCAATGACTCTCAGTATCAGCCTTATTTTATCCCCTGTATTGTAACAGCTCCCAGGTTGCTCCAGCTATAGTGATCTAGTTTATCATATCAATCCTGCAGTAGCCTTTTTGCAGTATACAAACCTTCCATAACCTGTGGTTATTTCATCTCCAGATGCATGTACCAGCAAATACAGGTGGTTACAGGGAATAAAGCACAAGGCCTCCTATACCTATAGAGCTGCCAGCCCAGGAATGGAAATCTTCACTTTTTAAGTACCTGCGTCAGTCAAATTTTCCTCTGAAGAAATCCTATTATGAGTCTCAACTGTTCTTGCTGAACGGGTTGAGCAATTCAGAATACTCCTGAACTACAGCAAGTTTCAATTTGAAGCAGAATTTCAGCCCAGATCAGAAAAAGACTCCACGCTGTCACCACTAACTCACATTAGCAATTTGCTCAGGAAGTGGACATTTAGTGGAAAGTGCAAATAGAGTAAAACTTTAAGTCAAACTTTTGTCTGCTATTTCTGGCTCAGGCACTGACCTGCTTTGCATGACATGCCCAAACATATTAGCTTTTTTCTGTGCTAGCTCAGTCTAGAGAGCTAAACATAACACCAGACAACCATTACGAAGGCAACTAAATCTAGCCTTCAGGAAATGCTCCGTTCCAGTGCTGTCTCTGGGCCGCTGCGCATTCAGCTTTTCACCTCACAGCCTGAAAGGGTTACTTACCAGCAACAGTCCACCAGGGAGTTTCAGATACCAGAGTTATCTGAAGCTTTTGGCAGACAAAACATTTAAGGACAATGATCCAGAGACAAGCTGATTGCAGGAATGGAAAAAGCTTGTCGCTTAATGGCCTTTTGTTATTTACAGGCAGTATTTAAGCTCTTGAATAGATGATCTCTGGGAGTTCCAGCTTCTGCAAGAATCGGGAGGCCACCACTCACCAAACCCTCTGTTACAACAGAAGAATGCTGCCTTACATCACACAAGTGAATCTTGGGATTTCCCCCTCAGTAAGTAGTCTCCCAGAAGCCTTGCAGTGGCGATACAGATACAAAGCTTTACATATCCCAACTACTGTAAAGCATACACAAGTTCAGGTTTGCTCTCAGCAGCTCCCAACTTTTAAAAAGCCCAGCTGAAAGCCTCCAGACTTGACACCAGACTACTGAAGCTTTTCTAGTGCTCCTACTGAGCTTCTTACAGCGCTGACCCAAGCAAACCTTGCTTCTACACTTCGTGGTTCACCACAGACTTGGACAGGAGTAGATACTGAGCACACAGCACCTGCTGAAGAGCCTACTCCCTCATGAAGATGAAGAGCATCTCCAGTTATCCTCCGAAGGATGAAAGCCCTTCAGAGTTATCAATTCAGGGTAGCCAGCTTTAGCCAAGTGAGGATTCCTCCCTTACCTCCTGGTTCCAAGTATCAGCTAGCATGAAGATCAGTAAGTTGCTCTCGCTCCCCGCCAGCACGCTTCACACCTCACTCCTTTAACCCCAGAACATGAAATATGTCAAGTATGATCCTGAGAAAGAGAAGAATGCCGCTCCACTCTGGAGAAGTGCACATACTATGCCAGTTTTCAGATAGCGACAGTCTGAAAAAATACAGCATAGAAGACTGCACTGTGTGCAGCTTCAGCACCAGTAACCCAAGAGTCACTCTGTGCAACCGCTGCAAAGGAACATGCAGCCACTTAAACGCAACTTCACTGGCACCTGAAGGCCACACGCTTTCTTCGTTGTTCTTTGTAGCTATGACTAGACTGACAAAGTGAGCCTCCACAAACACAACTTCAGAAGTACTGAAGTACAGAAGTACAAGAACTTAAAAACAGCAATACGCCTGCTCCTTCTAAAGGTGTATAGAATACAGTCCACTTCCAAATGTTACTGGACTCTCATCTTCTGGAAAAGACAATTTAATGCTACAGTACTCAAAACCCCAAACGCATCTATTAAAAAACCCCACACATCTAAACCTCCCTTACCACTTCTCATCCTCTTCACTCCTGTTTTATGCATAAATACAATGCAACAACACTAGACTCGGAAGGAGTTGTAAAAATCCATGCTTTCCATGTAAGACCATAACCTAGTATGGATTATATTGAAGAACCCAGCATGCACTTCCCTACTCTAAAGTGGAAATAGTTACAAACACAGGTCGCAGCTTGAGCACACATTCTACCAGCTGGTAGAACACCCAGCTCCGAATCTGCCCTGATGTTCACCCTGCGTCCTGCTGCCCAAAAGCACCACTTCCCCAGACTGGATGAAACCATGCACCTTCAGTGATACCACAAGGTACACTTCACAACAGACAGGCAACAAAGACATTCAGTTAGTAGCTGCCCTGTTTCCCATCAAAATGCTATTTCTTCCTCTTCAATCTTCAGTTCCAGCTAGAAGGAATACTTCGGTTTTCTGAAGCTGTAAAGAATAACACAACTGTAAAGATATGACTTACAATGAACACTCATACCCCTTGTCTCAGTGATGCAGCTCACACCTAAGGCAGCATTTCAGGTTCTGTTCTGTAAATTCACAGATTGAAACATTAGAGAATAAAAGGCGCATGTAAAAAGCAGCACATAAGCTCTTGTGCTTGAAGAAGTTTAGCAACAACTCTCAATCCAAACCTCTGCGATACAAAACCTCCCAGTTTTTGTAGAACAAGAGGTTGGATAACAACAGGGAAGTTTAACCTCCACAAGACACCTCTGGAACACAGCCTCTCACCGCAGTAGACTGCCAGTTGCCTCTGCACTGGAAAGGCTCACGTGTTGCTGGATGTCCTGGCAGCACTCAGGATCGCTTTAACATGCCATTCTCTTTATGCTAGTAAGGCCTCCCCTACTTGTCAGACTTGCAGAGCCAAGTTTAAAGACAGGCATGGTAGCTACGTACAGCTGCATTTACCCAGGCAGGAGGGAGAGAAGCATCCACCGCCACAGCGGTCACTTTGCTTTTGGAAGGCTTCTGTGCAGTTTCCAAGGTACTGATAGCACAACATCAGACCTAGGAGGGTCTCTGCTTCCAGATGCTGCTGAGGGAGACTGAGAACCAGCTGGTTTCTAACTCAGAACAAACAACTGGAGTTCATATAAAACCGGAACTCATAATACAAGTTACAGCTACAGTTCAGTATCATCTACAAACCAGCCATTACTGCATGCATCGGACCCCAACCTGCAAGGTCTGCTGTATTTCCCTGTGATCCAGGCAGACTTGCCAGTCAGTGATCTTGACAACACTAATTTTAAACCAAAACATGAAGAAAGCCGTAGCTGGTTACTGTTTTAGACAGCTTCTGATCCTTAAGCACAGGCAGAAGGCTTTGCTTTAGGAACTTAAAAGTGAAGATTCCAGCAGCCTTTAGATGAAGTTTCAGTTTGAGTTACTCAGCTCCCAGGAGGTTACCTCACCACAAATTGCCTTCAGCTGGAAAGCCAACTTACAGAGCTTAAAGTTTCTGCCATCTCCCCTACAGCAAAACACCCCTGGGGTTGGGCCCACGGCTGCGGAGCATACCATTACCTTGACCCATCTTACAGTGAAAAGCATTAATTAGTTCCTCAGCAAAAATGAGGAAGTGGAAGCATGGCACTAAGCAAAGCAAGGTGCCAGGTGTCTTGCCCAAAGGCCGAGTTGAACAGAACTACTGCATTACACCCATGAACTCGATATCCTAAAAGCTACAGAACCCGCACAAGAAACTGACATTTAGGGTCCAAAAGCAGGTTTAATTGTGTTCACAAGTTCCCAGCAAAACAAAGCCCTACTCAGGCTCCAGGAAAGCATTTTAAGGAAGATGGAGTGTGCTTATGCCACAGATGCCCTAGCCATGCTTGCCATCAGCTGCCAGCAATGCCAGAGGGCACACAGCAAAGCCAGTGCCACAAGTCTCACTCAGCCCCACACTACCCACCTCCTGTCAGTCTACTTCCCAGCTGCTGGTACCCTGCATTTTAAACTTATCTTCATCAAGGAGTTCACAAGCTGCACTGGAAGTTTTTAAAGCATTATCAAACACCAGTGTTTTAAGTCTTACCTTAAAGTTTAACCCTGCACATATTTGAAGTTATAATTATGTTTTAATTGTAAACTCCAAAGATATCTGTTAGAGAAGTTCAAATTTGTTCTTCTAGATAATAACCTCCCCAGTCTAACATGTTCCTGGCAAAAAATGCTCTGTCCAGAAGATAAGACTAGTTTTAACAACTACGTTAATGGTAATACAGCCTTTAGGAAGAATAACCAACATAACTGGCAACATCAAGAAGCAAATAAAGAGCCTTTACCCCTTTAGCAGTCAGTTCCAGCTATTTTATAAACCTTGGTGCACAGCAGAGTTCCCCAAACACACTCCAACACACTAAGTGTACACCTCCAACAGTCAAAGATTATCTACAGTCCTTTTAGCTTGGACTCCATGGTCTTTCCTCCCTACTCCAGTTAGAGCTGTTTTCAAACTGTAATTTACTGAGAGACCACATCATTAGCTTGATTACAAGCCTAATTTTTGCTTCAGGTTGCTGCTGTAAGTGAAACAAGCTTTTAATCTCTGACTTTAGCAAGTTTATTTGCCTGAAGCCCCTGAACCCTTCTGTGACAAGCAGTCCAGGGCTACATTACAAAATCGTGATTTATCTAACCAAAAAGGAACTTTCAGCCACTTTGCCATGAATTGTTAGCAGCTTTCGACAGTGCAGTCCCAAGCAATATGGAATCAGGGCCAAAGTCAAAATCAATAGTGCTCTGCCTTACCTCAGCAGCAGGACCAGAGCGCCGAGGAGCAGCTGTGACACAGACGGTAGGTTAGACAAGAGCCTGCTGCATGTTCCTTGGGCCAGCAGGTTCTACCTCTACCTGTCGCTGAAGGTACTGTGTAGGGCGAGGTGTAAGAGACCAAGCAGAACCTCTGTACAAGGCAGCGCTCACCAAGGTCACATCACCGATTCCCTACAGCATCCATAAGTGCGCTCCTGGCCTACAGGACTGGTGCAATTCCAGAGCATCTGCCATTCTAAGGCTACCACCCCTGTTAACAGAAGCATTTTAATCTTCAGGAAGATTTTAATCCTTTCTGTTTGACAGAATCTGCTTTTCCAATGCTTGAAACAGCTCAGATCCACTGACTTTGACTTCTTACAAGAGTCTGCAAAAGTTAGAGGGCAAGCAGTTAAATCAGTAGCATAAGAAGAGTCAAGCTGCACAAAATACAGGAATAACCAAGGTACACGTTATAAACAAGCTCTGATGTAACTGTCACCTTTCATTTTATTTTTTTTTAAGCCTGAACAGCACGAGGACCAAAACAACATCCAACTTCCTCCTGGTGTGAAATCTTGAGTATGAAAAAGCCTAGCTAGCTAACAGAAGCCTAACCAGTCTTCTCTGTACTAACGACACCAAGATATTTAACACAGATGGGCTGTGCTGGCAGCTCCACGAACGCAGCAAGAGGCCGTAACGGAAGAACCAACTTGTTCCCGCTGATTGCTGTAAAGCAGAACTGGTAGCACAGAAATAACACAAAAGTTTGCTCAGCACAGGTAGCATGCTTACAGCAGGGCTAACACTAATGTTGTTCAATTAGCCCGTCAGCCTAATGCATCCTGGCTGCAGGCAGCATTCATTTTGGCAGAAGTGATACTTAAGCATCTCAGGAGGTCAAGCAGCTCTGGATTACAGGGAAACCCATGGTCATCCACAGCTGAACAGGAACAGCAATATGGAACACAGTTTAGTTCTGCAAAGCATCACCTGGTTTTTGGGCCTACACCTTACAAGCAGTAATAAGCCACCATTCATCTGCTATAAGAAAATGCTTTATGTCAGCAGGGCTGGAGCACAGCTTCCAATTTCTCCTTTCATAGGGTCCATCAAGCAGTTCACATGGGGGAACCCATAAGACAACAAATGAGCCTTTTCCTTGGTCTCCCATTCAAAGAGCTCCAAATAGTGCCCTAGTTATGCAGTTATAGGTAACACATTTCCTAAAGATAAGCAACACAGATGGGGATGCGACTGAATCCAAAGTGCTTAAACCTTAAAATGGAAGGCATTCATTCTCACCCTCCAGTATCATTCCCATCCTACCCCTGGATATCTTCACATTGCATTTCTTATAAAATATATACATGATAAAATAGAACACCTATTTATATATATAAAAAACAATAAAATAGTTATGCTTCACTGTTATCCCCACACTTTACAGGGACTATGGCTGGAATCACTGCCCAAACATTTCTCACAAGAGTTCTAAGTTTTAGACCTGTGAGCCAGTAAGCACCCACGCAAGAATTAAGGACACCACTGCCTGAAAAACTGTGGTGAATAATACAAGCAGCAATCTGATAGCAGGTCTCAAGTCCCAGCTCTTTCGGAGCATCTGCTTAAAGAACAGCTGCTGCTGCGCACAGAACATATTATCCCAGCTCAAGTCTCTGGACAACCCCAACCATCCCACCAGAGGACATGCTGGGATGGACCATGCAGGTTCTTGCACTCTGTCACGCACCAGTAACACCACTACTTACCCAGCTGCAAAAAACTTCTGCCCCTCTTGCAGCCCAGAAGAGCTCAACATGCAAGAGGCCATTTCAGATAACACTGTTGACACTGTACAAAAGGTTTATACTCCTGGGACTTCCTGCTCGTTTCCAAGTTCTCATCCCCACATTATCCAAGGACACAAGTATTTTGGAGAAAACCTCATAGTCTGTAGTCGAGCGTAAAAAGCAAACTGCCAAGCACAAGAGCCAGTGGCAAGATTGAGACCTGAACACTGATATATCAAGACAGAGAATACCCTCTAAAAATGCCTAAGCAGCAGCTTTCCTTCCCATTGCTTCTTTGTACTCAAGTCTATTGGGATTACTCCTACTTGATCCACATTCTGCAGGCTTTTGTTCTTGCCACAAGGTGCAACAGCAAAGGTCGGAAACTTGCTGTTCCCCTCGTTATCCTGACAGTGATGGTCACTACACACAAGATACCACAGCTTTTCCCAGAGACCAGAACAAAACCAAGATGATGATACGAACACTCTCCACGGGGTTTATAAAGCTGGAGTGTAAGCAACCAGTGATTATTACTGAAGTAGTTAAGTGAGACAGCCACAGTAACTCAAATTAAGAGTGCTCCTTTCTAGTCTGTAGCTTAACTCCCATCTAACTTTTAAAGCACCCAGACTGCTGGAACAAGCAGTTTTACTTCCCTTCATATACTTTATTGGAAACATCGCCCACAGCCTTATCATCCCTCTTCTCCTCAACAGCCACCACGCTTACTCCACTGAAACACTTGGTACTTTGCAGAGCTCAATATACACCCCACTGCTTTACCGATGCTCTCACTACTTCCCAAGGCTTTAAGAGGCTCTCGTAACCTTACACAGTCCCCATTATCCCTCAGGACTCTTCATCTTTGAAAAGCAGCATGAAGAATCGGTCCCCGAGCACCCAATGTTAACAAAGGCTCGACACATTCAGCTTCTCTCCTGTTAAAAAGAACACAGACTAGGAAAAGAAGTGCTCTGAGTGAGTGTTGAACCCTGAACCCCAGCACATACTAAACTACAACAAAGCACCTTCCTCTGCTTCCAGAGTTACCCGACAGAAGACATACCCTCCCCACAAAAGCCCTGTACGATCTGTGTCTGTCCCCCACCCCCAGCAGTCACATTTACCCTGTTTGAGCGTTCACTGCCAGAGGTCCGTTGTCTGTTCCGACGGCAGGCCCACGACCCGCTCCCAAGGAGGAAGTGCTCTTTTGAACACCTGCGAGCCCACAAACACACTGGGGAACAGCCTTCACCACGTACTGAGTACAGCTAAAAAGACGGAATGTTGCAGACAAGCGATACCCAGCTGGAGCACAACTTCCTTACGTAACCCGCTACCATACGCTTATCTGCAAATTTCAATACACTAAAATTCTACTCAAAACCCTTCCCTTTCAAGCTCTAGTTATTCCACAAGCATACATAAGCCTTCAGGCCCTCTTCAATTTTCTTCTCCACCTTAGCTCTAATTTGATCAGTACGACACACAAAGCTTCACAAAAACTTCAAGATAACCTACAATCAAAGCAAAGATGTTAACATGTAACCCAAATCTGACGCCATATACCAAACAGAGCTAACAAACTGATCTTAAATATTGGGTAGCACGTTTACATCTAGTTCTGGACAAAAATTAGATTTATGTAATAATCGAGACCAGAAACCCTATGGGAGGACTGGCTTCTACACCAGAATCTTACATGGAGACTCCAAATTGACAGCTACATGTTTTGCAGGGAAAAGGATATAAATTCCCTGTCTGACTCACCAAAATAATAGAAGTGTACTTCAATAATCCTCCTTCCCCCTCCCCGGTAAAACATACTACGATGATCAAGCAGAGTAGGGTCTTAAGACTAGAGGGGATTCAACAGCAGTGCTTTTCCAGAAGGCCGGGACACCAAGCATGGCTCACCTCCTGGTCCGGGAGGAGAAGGCACCTCACACGCCTCTCCCTACAAGTCTACTCGATGACTCAGGTTGTAGAGCACCGCTGGGCTCCAGTAAAGCAATAAATCATCCGATTACGACCAGTCGAACGCGACAAGTTTACATGCCCTACCGAGACCGGCACTCCTGGAGGATGGAGAAGCAGCTCCCCAAGGAGCTACGCCAGAACTTCCAGACGGGCAGCCTTTCCGCTCCTCCGGCCACCTTCTCCCGACACCGGCACCCC